GGGCCTGCACCGTCGGCATCGCTCCCTATACCCTCGCGCGGGTGGACCCCGAGAACTATTTGTCGAGGAACGGCTGCATCGCGTCGGGGTTGTTGTCGTGTTTGTTTGGGAGCCCTTGCGTGGTGTGCCCGTACGCCGCCCCGCAGACCTGCTTTTCCGGCCCCGCCTTTAGACACCCGCGGCTTTTCTTCGCGACTTACCCTCATTGTGTGTGCTCCTGTGAGGGCCTGAAGTGCAGAGGGGATTGCCCCGCTGAGGGGCGGGGTAAACGAACAGCGAGGCCGGACGAGGACCCTTTCGGGCTCGAAAAGAGAAGAACGGAAGCCGTGGTCGCGTCGCCGCATTCGCGTCCGCCGGAGATGTGTGAAGCCCTGCTGACTCGCGAGATTGTCTTCTCCACAACCTCGCGGACCACCACTTCTTCCAGCTCGAGGAGCTCCCTCAGCGAGGTGGGGGAGCTGACATCTTCGGATGGATTTCATCGACAGCCGCACCTCACTCTACCACCCCCCCAAACGTCCTTCAGCGAGGACAACCATGCGTATGCCTCACCGCAAAATTTTCCCCTACGCCGACGGCGATTTGTTCGAAATAAGATCCCAACCACCCCTCATTTTTTTCATATTCACTCTCGACCATCTCAAGAGCGTGATCAATTTTCTTTGCCTTTTCAGGATGTGTCTGCTGTTATCACGAACGCGATCGTGGATGAGGACGAAGAGAAGAACGACCTTTTCTTTTGGGGGGGATCGAATTCATCAGAGATTTTATCTACCATCGAAGTGGAGGATGTGGAATGTATTACAACTTTTCCCTCGCCGAACAACCTGGACGCGGCGTCAAGTGCTAAGTTCGACTCTGGAAGCGAATGGGGAGTGTACTCCGGCGAACGAACCGTTTCGTGGCCCGTGAAAGAAGTCGAAGATATAATCCCTATTTCTTCCCTCGATGAACACCTGCTTAAAGAAAATTCATAGTGGTGGTTAGCAGGCCTCAGCCATCATGAGAGCTACCGATTCCGAAGGTTAGGGAGGGCGCTTTGGGATGAATCCAGCAACGCGGGTCTTCGATATAGAACTTCTAGAGATCGTGACTGCATCTGGGACTCAAACAGACAACGTGTTATATGCTCAACTCCAGTATATATATAGGATTCGTTGTTTTATATCGAGTGCACATAAATTAGCACACCAAAAGTTACTCTTTTTATTTTAGAGTACTTTATATCATTTCTTTAAGAATTCAGAACTGCTGATCTAGCACTTATTACTGCACTCTACAAAATAGCAAATGAGGGAGTGATAGTGACAGTGCTTGCTCGTTTTTTTTATATTTGAGGAGCAATAGGGACGTTATTGGAGCAGAATACTATCATTTCATTAAGGAAATATCCCTATATATATATATCTATATTTATATTTGCTATCTTGATCGGTATTTAATGCCTTTATTCCTTATTCC